CGAAGCAGTCCGTTCTGGTGTTGGAATCTTCCTTCTGGGTCCTCCCTAATAGCCAGCTGCTCGAGGAGTTTTTGCGCCTGTGGGTTATTGTTGTAGCTGGCGACAATATCTTCAAGCCATGCTGGTTGGCATACGCTGATTGTGAGTAGTACTTCAGATGTTTTTTGCTCTGGACAGGGAGTCCACTGCTGTGTTCTCGGCTCCTTTTTTGTACTTGATGATGTATCGGAGCCCCAACAGTTTAGTGAAAGGTCGTTGCTGCCATGGTGTCGACAGCCTCTGCTCTGTCAAGTGCGTCAAGCTACGCTGGTCTGTAAGGATGGTGAATTCTGCGTGTTGGAGGTAAGGGCGCCACTGGTCCACGGCCACAATAACTGCCAGATACTCCTTCTCGTAGGTCGAGAGGCCTTGGTATCGAGGGCTCAGAGCTTTGCTCATGTATGCGATCGAGTGTCCATCCTGCTGCAGTATCGCCCCAATCCCTTTGTCACACGCGTCAGTCTCGATCACAAATGATTTGGAGAAGTTGGGAAGCGCTAGAACTAGAGCTTCGCTCAGGTGTTGTTTAAGCAGTTGGAATGATGTTTCTGTAGCTGGTGTCCAAACAAATGGCACCACTTTCTTCAGCAGGTTGAACAGAGGGTGAGCTATGATTCCAAAGTTTCTGACGAATCGTCGGTAGTATCCGGCGAGTCCCAAGAAGCTGCATACTGCTTTGATGTCAGTTGGTGTCGTCCAGTTGGACACAACTTGTATCTTGGCTGGTTCCGTGGACACTCCTCGGTTGCTGATGACATGCCCAAGGTGCGATAGGCTGTGCTGGCCGGACTCACACTTGGACATCTTCACGCGCCATTGATCTTGGCGCAAGAGTTGCAGAACCTGTCGCAGGTGGCTGATGTGGTCGCGTAGAGTCTGACTGAACACGAGGATGTCGTCGAAAAAGAGGAGCACACACTTGCGGTCGACTGGTTTGAGGGTGGTTGTCAGGGCTCCGTTGAATGTGGTCGGCCCGCCAGCTAAACCGAAAGACACCGCCAACAACTCATAGTGGCCTGAGTGCGTCTGGAACGCTGTCTTATATTCTTCGCCTTCTGCCAAGCGAATCTGGTGATAGCCTGAGTGAAGATCCAGCTTAGAGAACCAGGCTGCGCCGTGCAACTCGTCCAACAACTCTTCGATGATAGGCACGGGGTACTTGGCGATGTAAGTGATGGTGTTGAGGTGTCTGTAGTCGATGAAGAGCCTCCACGTCACGTCCTTCTTCTTGACGAGGATAGCTGGGGAGTAGAAGGGACTGCTGCTTTTTTGAACAATGCCCTTTCGGAGAAGCTCTTCAACTTGGGCATCAATCTCCTTCTTGTGCTCTGGCTTGTGCCGATAGGACCGGATGTTTACAGGTTGGGCTCCTAGAATGAGCGGGATCTTGTGATTGTAGTCGCGTCGGGGTGGCAACCCTTCTAGTTCTTTGAACACATCAGTGAATTCCTCGAGCACCGCCTGAATTTCTGGTGAGTTGGTGGTGTTGTTGCTGTCCTCGCTGTCGGTCGCGTAGATCAGCGCCATGTGAGTGATGGCGCCAGTGTTGCACAGTTGTTGTAGTTGGAGGGCGTTGATGACCGTGCAAGTTGAAAAAGTAGCCTCGTGCCCACGGAGGCAAATTGTGACGTGGGGCGATGGAATTTCAATGAGCTTCGCATGCTAGTCCACGGTCATGGGACTGTGCTCCTCGAGCCAGTCCATGCCCAAGATCGCGTCGTACGTCCCGAGAGCCAGCACCTTCATGTCCGTCGCGAACTGGTGGCCTTGTGTGCACCACTGGCACTATGGCACACTTGCAGAGCAAGCGAGTGCGCCCCCGTCGGCCATGCGCACCTGGTACGCGCGCGGGAGAGGCTGAACCCCCTGGATGGTTGTCGCCGGCCGCTCGTTGATGAACGAAGTGGTGCTGCCGGAATCCACGAGCATCAACACTTCTCGCCCTTGGATCCATGCACGCAGCTGGAATGCCTTGCTCGATACGCCCCCCGTCAGGGCTGGCTTGGAGATGGCCATGACCACTTCATCTGGTGCGGCCTCTGTTTGCGTTGGCGCTGTCGTCGCGTCGATGCCGAAGAGCTCCAGAAGTTCTTCGAGACGTGGAGTTGGACTGACGTGGGGCAGGCATGGTCGGGACCCCAGCGCTCGCCGCACTTGAAGCACAACCCGCGTGCTCGTCGGTAGTCGCGCGGGGCCTTGAGCTTGGAGGAGTCGGCTCGTGCGGCGTCCGTGCCGCGGCGATCCGTGGCTGGAGCTGCTGGTGTTGCGCGCGCTGGTGGAGGTGGTAGTGGTAGCGGTATGTTGGGCCGCAGCGATGCGTCGGGAGGGCGCATTGGAGTGGGGCGCTGCACCTTCGCACAAGCGTTGTCAGCCACCTCCTCCTGGAGCAGCGCCAAAGCACATGACGTATCCAAATCGGGCGGCCGCTGAACCATGACCACCGCTCGGATGTCCGCCCACAATCCTTCCACAAAACGAGTGAGAAAATAAAATGGGTGAATCATGTCTGAATAAGAGCTCAAATGATTAATGATCAATTCAAAGCGCTTGATAAAATCAGCTACAGTGGATGTCTGCTTAATGGTATAAAACTGACGAATGAGAAGTTGATGGTGATCGCGACCGAATCGCGTAGTTAGCAGAGCTGAGAAGGATTTCCAATCGAAGCTATTGAGCTTCTTTTGGACAGATTGTAACCAAATGGCCGCGGCCCCTGAGAAGTTGAGGGCGGTCATGGGAACCCAGAAGGATTTGTGAATGCCAACATGGAAAAATATTGCTCACACATCGTTTTCCACATGTTCGGGTTCTCGCCCGAAAATTGAGAAAACGAAATGGAAGGGTGGGCTTGTCCCAATCCCGCAAGCATCTGGCTAGCATGTGCAAAAGGGGAAGATAAGAGCTCGATCTGACCGTTCGCCGGGAGTGGCGGCGGCGTCTGGAACGACACCGCCCCCCGCTGTAGATGGAAATCGCCTTGGTCCTTAGATCCTTGAGGGGTGTCCTCATCGCCTCCCGCCAGGCCCAATTTGTCGGTGGGCAACGCGGGCGGTGGCACCGTAGAGCGTAGCGGCGGCGCACCCCCGTTGGTGTCGGTGGTGGGGTTTGGGCGCGCTTGTTGCAGAGCGGTGACCGCGTTGCCCAGATCGGAGACGCGGCGCTCCAGATCCGGCCGCCAGGCGACGAGATCATCGAGACGGGAGGTGACCACGGTGAGAGCCACGATATTGGCTTGTATCGTCGCCATGAGCTTGTCGAGATAAGCCTTCGCTGCTGGATCCATGGCTTCGACGATGTGGCGGCTGTGACGAATCCCTCTTGTCTCGATGAGATGAGCCAGATCGGGCGGAGGGAAGAGTGGATTTCTGGCGACTGATACCATATCTTAGGGACAAGCAAGGGGAAGGATCGATCTAGTATTTCTCTCGGTGGCAATATAGTCGGGATATAAGTTTGATTACAAGAATGGATCGGTAAAGGAAGAACCAGGGGTTCGTGATCCACTGGATGAAGGGAAAGCTGTGAGCAGTGCCTCGAGTAGTAGAAGCTGTTGGGCTGGGCTGGTTGTGCCATTCTGGGCCGAAGTAGCGCCGGTTGCTGCGTCGGGCGCGGCTGGGCCGAGCCCGGTCCTTGTTGGCAGGTGGGGCCAAGCCGCCAGGGCGCTAACAGGGATCGTCGCCGGTGACCACGAGGCCAAATCCTATTCGGCGCCTTAAGCGCCGAATATAGTGTATTTGGTACAGGGCGCACACCCCTCCTGTATGCTTAGTTTTATAGTGGGCCCATTCCACTTTCTTTTGTTCTGTTTTTCTGTTTCTGTAAACTGCAAAAAGCGAGTGCGAGCCAGGGTTCGAACCCGCGATGCTCTTCCTACAAGTGGGACGCCAGAACCACCAGACCAACTACCTTCGAGAGTTTACGTTGTGGGTTGTTTTGCCTTTGGTTCTTTTTTTCTTCTTTTATCAAATTCGTGAAAAACAATTGCGAAAGAAATTCATGAATTTTTTCTTGAAAGTAGATGAACTATTTTCAAAATCCATGAACTTTTAAAAAATTGTGAACTTTTTTCTTCAAAGTAGATGAACTTTTTTTCAAAGTAGCGGTTTTTTAAAATTGATGAACCTTTTTTTAAACTCGATGAACTTTTTCAAAATATTGTGAACTTCTTCCCAAAATCGCTGAACTTTTTTTCAAAGTCATGAACTTTTTTTGAAAATCGGTGAACTTTTTTCAAATTCATGAACTTTTTTATAAGTTTGATGAACTTTTTTCTAAAATCAGTGAACTTTTTAGAATCCGTGAGAATTTTATTTTCGAATTCTTTTTCTGAAATTTCAAAAAAAAAATCTCAAAAGTCAATCACCAACGGTTGACCGAATCTACCACTACCAGTCAACCACGACGGTCGAGCAGGAAAGGCAGGGAAGCGCGCATCGTACGCGAGCTCGTCGGCTTGTTGTTGGGCCGGCCCACGTAGCCAAGCGCACGGGCGCTGGTTTCCTCTGCGGGCGCATAAGGCGCCAGCGAGGAGCACTCGACCACGAGTCCACGACGAGGCAGCTAAGGCCATGCTCGAATGAACCATTTTGTCACGAAAGCTCGAATTCTAACTTTCAGCCCATTTTGCTCGAAAAAAAACTTTGGGCCCATTCATGTTTTTTTAGATGATTGGGCCCATTCATGTATCCTTTCGGAACCGAGTGCTGGGCTTGGTTGTTGTACCAACTGCGTCCGGCCCACCGTCAAACGGAGCTGGGCTTGGGCAATCCACAGTTCCACACTCCACCAGTCCAGTCCAGGCGTGCGCCCGGCACGGACCCCGACCCGGCACGGGGCACCCCACACTGCACACCACGAGCCGCGTCCGACTGCGAGAGAGAGCTCGGAGAAGGCAACGCCCAATCGCCCACGCTTCCACCTCCCCCTCCACGAGGCAAGGAAGGAAACCCTAGGCAACGACCATGGCGCTGCTCCCGCGCACGGCCCGGCTGGCCCTCCTCTCCGCGTCGCCGCGGACCTACTCCGCCGCCGCCGCGGCGGGCGCCTCGCCCACCCCACCGGCGCCGTACGCGGGCGTGCCTCCGCCGGCGGCGGGGTCCAAGGCGGCCGAGTTCGTCGTCTCCAAGGTGGACGACCTCATGAACTGGGCGCGCCGGGGCTCGATCTGGCCCATGACCTTCGGGCTGGCCTGCTGCGCCGTCGAGATGATGCACGCCGGCGCGGCCCGCTACGACTTCGACCGATTCGGCGTCATCTTCCGCCCGTCCCCGCGCCAGTCCGACTGCATGATTGTCGCCGGCACGCTCACCAACAAGATGGCGCCCGCCCTCCGCAAGTCGGTACCAAACTCCCTCCTCCGTTGCCGCTCAGATTTCCCATGCATGCGCTTAGATCTCGGAAGGGATTTAATTAGAAATCAATTGAATCGGATAGAAGTTCTGGCTCAAATATTTATTGAATTCGCTGTTTGTGAGGATCTTCTCATCGGCACAGACCACGAATGTGAATGTTATCCACGTTCTAGTGTACAAAGTTCTTGTTCCCCATTTTCGAATTTGATTTCGAAACCCGCCACAAAATGAACACCAGCTCGTACTAACTCCATTTTCCCCATCTATGTATTTGATTTGAAGACCTGCTAGAAACAACACCAACTCTGATCGTTAGAATGCGTGGTTTGCATAACGGGACCACTTCAGGGGATGAAACACAGAAATGCTTACATTCCAGCATCAATATTGCTAAATACCATCAATACATCATGACTACAAGCCTGCCTACTGCATATTGCTAAAACTAGAGCCTGTGATGAACACCATAATTTAAGTAGATTTCAATTGAATCTGAAAGAAGTTCTTGCTCAAACCTTTGTGGGCATCTTCCCGCAGGCACAGACTACTAATGTGATTTCTATGCTCTAATAGTGTACGGAGTTGACGTTCGCCATTTTAAATTTTGATTTGGAAACATGTCACAGAATGAACAACAGCTCGTCCTAAGTCCTTTTTCCTAATCTGTGTATTTGATTTGGAGACCTGTCAGAAACAACGCCAACTCTGATCGCTGGAATGTTTGGTTTGTGTAAATGGACCACTTCAGAGGATGGAACACAGAAATGCTTATACATTTCAGCATCCCTAGTGCTAAGCACTATCAATACATCATGACTGCAAGCATGTTGTCTGCATATCGCTAAAAGCAGAAGTCTGCGACGAACACCATAATTTAATTGAAGTATCCTCCCTGTATGGCTGAAGAGATTTCACAACATAAGTTGTTTTTATGTTTAGGTTGGGCCAATCCCATGATTAGTTCTTAGGCTCTTAGACTATTGATTACTCAATCTTACAAGTGAAGAAGCATTTGCTGACTTGTTAGATAGAGTGTGAACATAGGTTATTTAGGCTTGCTAAGTTTCAATATCCTATTTCCTGTGATAATGTGCTGCTGTTAATATCCAAATATTTCTGTATTTCAACACAATTAGTATCAAAAAGGAAGAAAACATGCACAGGCTACTATATATATGCATGAACTTGCTTAGCCAAGAGATTGGAACATAAAGGAATTTAAATCTAACCATTTTTGTAACCAATTGATGTGCTTCTGTGTCACCTTAAGAATTATCACATTGTAAGTAGTTTAGCACATTGACACAGTTGTCAAAGTATAACTTCTCAGAAAAACATGCTGTTTCAAACAAAAGCAATTTTACCAAGTGCTAGAAGCTCCCACCCTAGGTGAGGTCTGGGGAAGGGTTACACGAGGCAACTCTTTCCCCTGCACAGTGCAATGCAGAGAGGCTGTGTTGAACCCAGGACCTCTTTACACGAGGCAACTTCACCACTGTGCCAGACCTGTCCGTCAAACAAAAGCAATTGTATATAATGATTATATATTTCATGATCAATTTAGTAATATCAATTTGATATTATTCATATTGGTAATTTGTTACATAGTGATGATCAAAAACTGCTTACATTATCGGAGGAAGTATATGATTGTGACATGTGAATGTCTCGGTCTATGTTTTTAAGGCGTCGCCTAGGTGACGCTTAGGCGTAAGAGGGCAATGCCAAGGCGTCGTCCTCGCCTTAGTTTTCTGTCTAAGGCGTCCGAGGGTTGTTGAGGCGTCCAGGGCGTCGCCTAGGCGGAGAAGGCGTCGCTTTGGCCGATTCTGGACGCCCTGGACATGTGTGGGTAGGTCGAGCGTGAATCAGAAACTGGCGGCGTGAGAAAGAGAAATTGGCGGGGATGGAAGAGAAATTGGGCGGGAGAGAGAGGGTAAACAGAGGCGGGAGGAAGAGGGAAACACACCTGGGACACCAATCGAGGGGAAAAGAGAGAGGAGCTCTCTCCTCCCACGCCGCCGGCCTAGATCCGCTCCTCCTCCGCCGGCCTCTCCCTCTCCGGCCAAGCTCCTCCTCCGCCGGCCCTTCCCCTCTCCGGCCAAGATCCTCCTCCGCTGGCCCTCCCCCTCTCCGGCCAAGCTCCCCCTCTACTCATGGCTGCCATATTTACCTCGCGCTTTGAGCGCCTAGGCGGTGAGGCGCCCCCCAGCGCCTTAAAGCGCCTGGACGCCTTAAAAACATAGGTCTCGGTTTACATGGAAATGAGTGTGTTGTTGGTTTCATCCCCTAGGAACAAAGCTAGATTTATCTTCCCTCCGTTCCATAATTTGAACTAAAACCACGACAAGAATTATGGAACGGAGGGAATACTTAGCTTCTTAGTATGGTCCATGCTTCTCCTTTTGGAGACGTTTCTGTACTTGAGAAGAATTGGTGAACGTCTTCTGACTGTAGCAATCAATATTCAGGATGGTTTGCTTTAAGGTCACAATCTCATTGTCTTTTTCTAATGCTCATGTTATTGTAACTTCCTCTGCAGGGTTTATGACCAGATGCCCGAGCCTCGATGGGTCATATCGATGGGCAGCTGTGCCAACGGTGGTGGATACTACCACTACTCCTACTCTGTTGTGCGTGGATGCGACCGCATTGTTCCGGTGGATATCTACGTCCCTGGATGCCCCCCAACCGCTGAGGCCCTACTATACGGTGTTCTCCAGCTCCAGAAGAAGATCAACAGGCGCAAGGATTTCCTTCACTGGTGGACCAAGTGAAGCGCCGTTTGTTACTGTTCTGGCTTGTTATATTTGTTTTTGATTCTACACTGAAATAAGGACGTTGTGCTCGGACGTGCAAAATTTGCTGTTGTTTGTGCCTGGTTGGATGTATGCCCGGGCTGTGCTGATGAGCATGGACTCGTGTACTTGGTGTTGCTGTAACTGCTTTTGCTCTACATATTGTAATACACCTTTATGACTTCGTTCTTGTATGATGCAAATTTGCTACAGTGTACTTGGTGTTGCTGTAACTGCTTTTGCTCTACATATTGTAATACACCTTTATGACTTCGTTCTTGTATGATGCAAATTTGCTACAGTATATGTGGTAAGCAATTCAAACTATTTTAAAATAAAATTAAAAAAATTGCTACTGTACATGTTTATGTCATCATGATTTGCACACAATTGTTATCTTATCTGCTACTCCCTCCGTCCGGAAATAGTTGTCATCAAAAAGAATAAAAGGGAATGTATCTAGATGTATTTTAGTTCTAGATACATCTCTTTTCATCTATTTTGGTGACAACTATTTTCGGACGGAGGAGTACAAACTTTCAAGGACTCTAAATCTTGTGCTGCAAGTATTTATTTACCATAGGCGGTTGTAAACTTACCAATCGTACGCTTAATGGGATCTACACTTGTTTTTTTTTTTTTTTTGCGGGAAACGGGATCTACTTGTGCAAAGCGCCCCTATAGAACACATCCCGTCGGCCCTTACGGCTCTGCCTGCGTTACGCCTTCTAGAATCTCTTCGGCTCCGTCCTCCAAACCCCCTCACCAAGAAAGCAGAGGTGAACCAACCAGCGAAACCGTCATCAAATTGGTCGCGAGTTTGCGTGCCGATCTACCTCTAACCTTCTCCTCCGCATTGCACCTGCGAACGGCGGGCAGATCCATGGCGGCGCTGGCGTCAAGGATGGCGCTGCAGTCCAGGGCGGCGTTGGCCTCGAGGATGGCGCAGCTGCAGTCCAAGGCGGCCGAGGCGACGAGGTTCGCGGCCAAGCACGGGGGTGCGCTGCAGTCCGAGGCGGCAAGCTTCGCGGCCAAGCACGGGGCCACTCTGCAGTCCAAGGCGTCCGAGGCGGCAAGCTTCGCGGCCAAGCACGGGGGCGCGCTGCAGTCCAAGGCGTCCGAGGCGGCAAGCATCGCGGCCAAGCACGGGGCCACGCTGCAGTCCAAGGCGTCCAAGGCGGCGAGCTTCGCGGCCAAGCAAGGGAGCGCGATGCAGTCCAAGGCGGCCGAGGCGGCGAGCTCCGCGGCCAAGCAAGGGCGCGAGTACCACAAGACGCTCATGGAGAGGAACAGGCAGTACGTCGTCGACCCGCCCACCGTCGAAAAGTGCCAGGAGCTCTCCAAGCAGCTCTTCTACACCCGCCTCGCCAGGTCCGTACGATCCCTAGCCCCTACCATCCATCTCTCCTGTGCTCCTGCATCATAGATTGTTTCCTGATGTTGATCTGCCAGATGATGTGCCTACTAGCTTGTGATTCAGTTGCAGCTTCCGATTCAGTTGCGATAAGTAGTTAACGTTACGCCTTTGTAGGGTTCATTGGTGCTTGTTTGGTCTGGGTATGCCAATTTCGATTTGTCAGCTTGCGTGCCACGGATGGTGTATTGTGGGTTTTTCTTGTTGCAGCTTGCGAGGTTTAGTGGTCGGATGGGGGAATTGGGGATGCAAAAGGGCTCTAGCTGATGGTTTGCCGTATAGCCATGGACTCTATATAGCTTGGTTTGGGCACCCTGAAATAAAGTTAACTGTTTCTTGTTTGTTTTTATTTTTACTAGTAGCAAGGTTTCAAGAACCAAAATCCAAAAGGGAGTTTCAGGCTTTGTAGCGAAATCCTATTGTCGCCTTGCGTCCAGGCAGCCATGATGCTCTCTCTTGAAAATGGACTACAACAAATTTTACGGCCCGCCTAGTTGTTATCCCTTGTGTGCTGATTTGTATCACTCAAGATATTGAGGATTCAGGTTTTCTAACCAATGTAAATTCTAGCTTGTGTGAGGTTTCAACTAGAGGCTACTTGTGAACACCACCTTAATTAAGAATAGAGTAGGAGTCTTTCATTTCAGATTATCTTTCCTTTTGATTGATCATATGGCTTCTACTGGATGGATGTTCATTAACTATGCGGGGTGTCTTAATGCTGAATGAAATCTGCTTTATTTATAAAATACTTCAGTTGGGTTTGCTGCCTTGTCTATTGGGAATCGCACTGCTTGGTCATGTCAGTTTATATTGAGCTTATATGGAATTATGGATAGCACATTACATGCATAACTTTGAAGTTCTTATGGTTGGGTGATAATCTTTTACAGTTGGTTGTCACCTCCTAAGTATTAGAGTTAGGAGGTGGCAACATTAGTTTGATCTCGGTCTTTTGTTTCGAACCTGTCCAAGCCCGCAAGGACGTGCAAGATAAACTATGAATTGTTAGAATTTGATTCCTTGATGAAGAAACAATATCGTAAATATGACACAATGTTCATGAGTTCCACTCTGGATTAGACTGTAGGGATCCTGGATTCTTTATGATGTTGGTTTATGCATATTGGTATTCTGGGTTATGTCTGGTTTCTGCATCTGGGTTATTTGTATGTCCGTTCCTATTTAACCATTTAACTGTATGACAACTGGTTCGAAACAAAAACAGTTTTGCTAAAGCACATCTAGATATGTCATAAGTATTGCACATCTAACTTCTATGTCATTGATCTTATGTTGAGATTCATGTGGATATTTTTTTTCTTTTTTTTTCTCTTTCTGCATGATTCTATCATTTAGATGTGCAATAACTAGAGCACATCTAGATGTGCCCTAGGACAATTTAACAGGCGTACTTCATTTATGGTGCTGTAATCACTTATCAGAAGTTTGATATATTTACTGATGGAGGACACGTTTGTTGCAGCATTCCTGGCCGTTACGAGGCTTTCTGGAAAGAGGTTGATGCTGTAAAGCTCTTGCTGAAAAACAGAAAGGACCTGAAGGCTGAGCAAGCCGGGGTTGCCGCATTGTTTGGCATTGAGTTGTATGCATGGCTTCGTGCCGGTGAGTTTATTGGTAGAGGATTTACCCTCACAGGTTGATCGCTGACGTCTAGCATGAGCGCACATTATTAGTCTACATACATTTGCCGTCTAGCTATGAGCGTACATTGTTAGTCTACATTTGCCATCGGATACAGTGTTCGTTGATCGAAAGTTTGTGCTTTTCTAGTTTGTTCTTGCCCCTCTGCTTTGTAAAATGTGTCCTCTTTGTCGATTACTAGTGTGGGATATCCGATAGATTGGAATTCCCTGAGATGGCCGTGTGTTTCTTTGGAGCTCTTTGATAGGTCATGCGCGCGGTGTACTTCACGTGAGCAGTAAAACAGAGATCTGACCAAAGGGAAGCGGGTAGTAACTGAACATATCGTATTTTTTCATTCGAGTATCTATTAAAAATGAGGACAAGCCAACTCCCGGCTAGTTAAACTTAAAGTCGAACTCCCGGCTAGTTAAACTTAAAGTCGATGGTTGGCTTCAGTCACGTTCCAATGGAGCAACTTGCCAGTTATCATGAAAACAGAGTGCTCATATTTTCAAGGGCGCTTATAGGTCCCGGCGCACCGGTCGAACAGTTGGGTCGGTCAAGCCTCAGCCATTCGATACATACTTTCCTAACCGTTTGATTGCTTTGTTTTAAAAGTCAAACACACACAGAAAATAAAGGAAAAAAGGCAGCGTGCGCACATGCCAGATCCCGTGCGCTCGCCGGCCGCCCGCGCTTGTCCTCGTCTTCCCGTGCTTGCTTGCCACCCTTGCTACCATGCCAGTCACCCGCGCTCGCCTGTCGCTCGTGCACATCACTTCTTGGTTGCCTTTGCTCGCTATGGTTGCAAATCGAACACAGGAGGGTTCCCAGCGTGCTGTCATCATGGTTGCAGCGCCCCGTCTCCGGCTCGCCGCCGTTGTCGACTTACACCGCCATGTCTAGCAAGAAAAAGCTACAAAAACTCCAGTGTTGGGTTGAAGCAAAAAAGATTTGTCGGTTCCAGCAAAAATAATGACGGTGCCAGCAAAAATCTCAGCAACAGAAAAATTTCAGTAGTCGATTTGTAGCAAACAAATTAGCTAGTTTCAGCAAAAAGAAACGCTGGTTCGGACAAAAAATCCTGTTGCTTCGAACAACTTTTTGCTGGTTCCAGCAAATTACATGATGCCGTGATGCGTGTCATGTAATTGAGAACATTGGTTGTAGCAAAAACTCAAACGGCGGTAGCAAAAAAAGTGATGCACTGGTTCCATCAAAACAACATGGTAGCAAAAAAATGATTGGTTCCAGCAAAAAACCAAAGATGGTAGTAGCAAAATTGTACGCTGGTTGTACCAAAAACAAATGACATGGTAGCAAAAATTTGGCTTGGTTCCATAAAAAACGAACATGATGATAGCAAAATAATTGATTGGTTCCAGCAAAAATTGAAGATAGTGGTAGCAAAATTGTACACTAGTTGTACCAAAAAGCAAATGACATGGCAGCAAGAATTTGGATGGTTCCATCAAAAAACAAACATGGTGGTAGCAAAATATTACACTAGTTCCAGCAAAAGGCAAGGGCGTCGGAAGCAAAAATTGGGGCTGCTTCCAAGAAAAGAAAGGCCGGATCTCCATCACTTGTCGCCGTGGTTGCAACGCCCCAACGCTAGCCGCCGCGGCTCTCCATCACTTGTCGCCGCCATCGACATCAAAAGGTGGGTATTGGTTTGAAGCATTGGTTGCTGGTGGGGAGTGAGGGGGCGGGGTGGGGGCAGCCTGTAACACCCCGGATATGATTTACCCAATATGTACTCCAACCCTTGCCGTTTCCGGCGTTAAGTTATTTTATTTTCTCGGGTTCGGGTTTTTTGTCTCCGTGTGTTGTTGTCGTTGTCATACATCTCATATCATGTTATCATGTGCATTGCATTTGCATACGTGTTCATCTCATGCATTCGAGCATTTTCCCC